TATCCCCTTTAGTAAAAATATCTTTTCACATTGTTGAAGAAATGTGTATCAGAAGCTATGTTTAAAAGCTATGTCATCACCTTATGTCTTCTATTGTATGAAAGTCATGAAATCTCTTGGATATGTGCTAGGACTCAACATAGGTTTACAGAAGTTCAACATTGGAAAGACTAACATGTACCTACTCTGAAAGTGGGACAGATTTTACTCCATTGCTTGTTTTGAGTAATACCCTATTTTGTAACCATCAGGGTAGAACTTAGCCTGAGGGAGGCTGAACCCACATTTCTTGTGTTGTGCTGGAAGCAATTCCCTTCATAGTAGCTGTTCTACATTTTCTTTTATTTTTTTCCCCAAAATTGATTTTCCTTTCACATGGGTTTTATAAAAAGAGGAATAGAGAAGGGTGCTGTATAGCAATGTAAAACAGCATGGTACCAGCTCAGACTGAGAGCTTCTCTCACTCTCAGAATGACTGATACCAGTGCCTCTGAAGGAACACAAAAGCAAGGTCAGCAGTCAGCTTCCCTGGGTATTCTCTCCTAGTCTCCAATGATTTGTGCCAAAGGTAGTTTCTGAGCTAGAGGTGGTGTGTTTGTGGCATCTTGGTGGCAAATGTTTCAGAAGAAATAAAAAAAAGTTGAAAAATAATTAGGTCTAATGATCTGTTACTGGTATTTAAGGTACATTTTTAAATGATCTATGCTCAGAAGAATTCCCTAAAATACTTTAATGTATTCTAGGTTTTCAGTTCTTGTCAGTGGGCTGTTTACTTCTAACTATTTAATTTTTGCTTTTCAGAGGAAGATGTAAAAAAACTCACAGAAGGAGTTGCTATTTTAATTTTACCTAGTGATGATCTCATTTTTAGAATTCCTGATACCTACCAGCCTGAGTGTATGTCCCTTTTCTGTTCTCCTCTTGTCCATACCCTCAGAATGATGCACAATTATTCCATCTAATTTGGGTGCTGACTCCATGTTGAAGAGGTCTTGATGGTCTACTGATACCTGAAAACTCTGGTAAAACACCAGTGATGTTGGAATATGCCAAATCCTGTCCACTGTACAAATTACCATGGCATCTAGCTGATGTAGGATATGAACTGCATGATCATCTTGCCTGTGAAAATATTAAGCCTGAAAATCATTGAGAAGTAGAGATTTCAGCAAACTTTCATAAAACTTCCTATGCAGTGTTAACTCCTTTTGTTTAGCAGCTGAGAAGCTTCTCAACATGAAAGGTCTTCCTCGAATTGTGCACAAAGCTTTTACAACTGCTGTCATCAAAAGATTCCCATGCAGTCAAGAGTTTCTTGATGTCCAAGAAATTTCTCCAAATTCTTCCTTATTTCTGTTTTCAGTTTTGAGAAATGTTCCTCTACAGTAGGACTTCCAGGGACTTCGTTTCCTGCCCAAACTCAAATCCACATGATGGGAGGGAGAGAAGGGGCTATTTCAGTATTTCAGGCTTTTGTTTCTAGTCTGATTGTTCAGTGAAATGGCAGATGGTGAGTCTATCTGTGTCCACTATAAAAACTAATACCATGGCGTGAGCTTCTTTCTTCCCTGGCAGGGAAAGAAGAAAAAAAGCAGAATCAGGCAAGGAATTTGGCTTGTATGCCAGGGAAAATTTACAAGCAAAAGCAGTTAAGTTCATATATAACTCTTTTCAGACTTTAATGTTTTGCAGAATCATTTTTCATCTATTGAGTAGTACTGTCACAGCATCAGAAATTTAATTTTTACATATTTTCATTATGTAGTCTTGTGCAGCTCTCGCTGATAACAGTCATTTGAAGTGTCAGTGCAACTGATGAAATCAGATGGGCCATGAAAGGTTTGGTTTGAAAGCTGTCACTGAGATGTATAACATATTTTTTTATTTTGCAGTTGCTTCATAAAAGTTTAAAAACAATGCAAGGTAATGTACATTCATTCATTCAGTAATACAAATTGTTCTAAGAGATACTTTTTTATTTGTATAATATAGCTTTAGGGGTGAATTAGTTACTTTTATTAATGAAAAATTAACATCCACAAAGAATTTTGTGGTGTACTCTGTGCATTTAGCACTAGATTTTTGAGGATTGCTCAACATAGTTGAGTCACAGGATTTTTGAAACATCTGACTTTAAGTGTCATAATGGGAGCTGCTGAGCTTTAAGCACTTTGAAAGCCAGGCCCTTTTGCGGTTGTTCAGAATTTAAAATTAGTGAGCTGTTTTAAAAATCTGTTTTCCACCTGGTATATTTTCTTTATCATGGATAAAGTCTCTATCAAGGAAGACTATAATCAATTAAAACTATTTTTCCTTTTAATTAAATGTGACACTGCTGGTGTGCTTCTCCATCACTCTCCCAATTAGTTTGGGAACAGCAGGAGACTCTATTTTCTTGGAAGTAGCCCTCGATACTCATTTCTCTTGATTTTATGCTGTTGTTTTCATGGTCCGTACCTAGACATATACAAGATAACAGTGGGCAAGACAAATACTTATATAATTTTAAGAAACATGACCTTAGAAGATAAGTGTTCATCTTCCAGTTTGCCCTGAGCAAAAGATGTGGCTTTGCTGTTTGGTATACATTTTGAGTCTACTTAATTTTCCTGTAATAATTAGGAGGGAATTACTTTTTAGTTTCTTAGAGAATGCTGAAAAAGGAAACAATGCTACAAAATCAGTCAGAGTACCTGTGGAACTGGGTTGCAAAATCAGGTCCAGCGTCACAGATTTTGTTCTCAGGATGTTCTTTTCTATGGTGCTTTGTTTACTCCATGTCTCTGCTGAAGAGCTCTGCCTCTCCAACATAACCAGTGTTGCACAAATGTCTTTCTTCTGGTCAAGAGGCAACTACTGGAAGTCCTTTCTTATTCTGTATTTTCATTTATTTGCTAACTCTGTCACTGATAGTCATTAGTTGAAGCATTGACTGTCCATGAGCTAACACACTGTTTAAGCTTGATTATCTACAGAGTAAATGGCAAAGGCAGACATCTAGCATTTTAACTTACTTTTCTGCACACTCTTATATCCTGAGAGGAACAGTTCACCCACTTCCAGCTAGGTATTCTACTATTCAAAAACAAAACAAAAAATATCTTAGGGGAAGGATAACTAGAGTAAAAGGGTTCAGTGACTGAGATATCGCCTTTTAACACAGCAGAACCAAATACAGTTCTCTTCTTTTTCACATTTCCTGGATAACTTTCAGCAACTTCTAAAATCATTATTGGCATATTAGCTCAAAAATGTGATGGAAAACGTAGTTGCCAGGTAGCTGTGGCTTCCACACCTTATCTCCTTTTACCTATGGAAAGAATTAATTGGGATGCAGTAATTATGTGGGAGAAATCAGAGTCAACTGTTGCCCTTTTAAAAGATAGCGCATAGTTGTTTTGCTGTTGCAGCTCAGCTAGGCCCTGTAAGGTTAATGTGCTCAGTATGACTTTCAATCTTTCTTTGATCCTGAGTGACAAGGATAAGGTAATGAGGACCATGTAAATATAGACTGTTTCTCTTTTGACAAGAACCAGGGAACATAAATAGGCATTTAATTTATCTGTAAGTATTTTCTTACTTGCTATCAAATAAAGCCCATTGAGATTAAGATATTAACAGAAAATTACCATGTTAATGTTCTTATTTCAAAAACAAATAGGCAAAGCCCACAGAGGAGAAATATTTCTGAATTTCTGGGAGTATTAGAAACACTGCAGAGCAAAAAATCATGAAAATTACTTGACAGAGGACTGCTAACTACAAGAGACTTAAATAACAAATGGGCATATCATAAAAAAAAATCAATACTCAGGAACACAGAAAATAGAGATGGAAAAGATATATTGGGTCATATTCGGCATCTCCTGCTAGAGTACAGTTGTTCACTGCAGTGTATCTTTTATCCAGTGTAGCCTTAAATTGTTCAAGGCAAAGGAAATTCCTCTACTTCCTTTGGGAGTGTCTGCCACAGACTGAAAATCTCACTGTCAAGGGATGTTTCCAGACGTTTAACCTAAATTATGCTCATTTTCCAACCATTAGTGCCGAAGTTCCCTCATTGATGTTTATACCTCTCAGAAGGACCTTGCCATCATAGTCCCTTCAATATTGTTTGCTCATTATACAAACAAAAGCAAGTCTCTGGAAATTGATAGGAAATGACAGGGCAGGGTGGTGCTGTTACACCATAGTTGCTAGAATAGCAACGTGCACATATCTACACTTGCATCTTTCCGAGTTCCATGGTTAGAAGAGCACCTTTCCAATAGGATGAATAAGCCGGAGGGCTATGTGTGACCATACTGCTTCCAAGTAGGTACTTCAGGTATCCCTGTCTAGCATTGTGTTGGAAAGTGTACACTTACCCAAAATGAGATGTATGGAACCAGAGCGTAACACGGTAAACAAAAGCATGGCTGTTGCTACCCAAGTTTTTCAGGATGCTCTGAGAGACGGGTATCTCTGGGAAATTCTGTAGATTTTAATTTTGTGTTAGAATAAATGATACATTTTGATTAACACCTTCTTGTAAAAGAATTAAGATAGCAGAGGTATGGAGAGGCCAAGCTTTTGTGGAGTGTGGGTTTATGTAGGAAGAAATACATTACGCTACTCAATCCCTCACGTTGGTACTCTCTAGACTTTCTGTGGGCTTTCAAACTAAATAATTTTAAAATTTCAGCTGTAATCACTTTCTAGGACATGCCCTTCTTATTCATTATCACACCATAACTTTGAAGCAGGCCGATTTTAATGTTTTGGCATCTGTTAGCTCAATTGCACCTCAAAATGGTATTTCATTGTATTCAGTTAGATAGATGTATTGTGTCAAAAGCATACAAATGACAGGTAAATGCAAAATGTTTTTATTTCCTTGAAACCTTCCCTTGAAGATGCCCTTTCTTCCCTTAGACCTTTTCATTGTCTTTGAATACCAGTGACACCTTTAGCTCCACCCCGTCACATAATTTTCCTGTATCTTAGAGTCTTGCTGCCAGATGAGGACGCTGGACAGCGGGATTGGAACCTTTCCGCTCCCTGACTCAGGGAACCGATCTACAGGGCGACACATTTCTAAGCAGGAATCAACCTCGGAAACAGAAGTCCTTGCACCATCTGAGCAAGTTCTTCTTTCAACTCCTTCAGTAAAAGCCAAAACTCTTGAGCGAGAAGTGCCTTCAATAGCTAAGAGCCAGGAGTCTGTGGAAAACATAATTAGTCACTCAACATCTGATCCGGCCATGACTGCCAAAGGTATACGACCTTTTCAAAGTCGCCTTCCAAAACCAGCTTCCTCAGGTAAAATGTCAATTACACTGAAAATCACATTATTTCTGCCCTGACGTCTGTTTTGATTAGCAGAAGTCCTATAATAATGACAGTTGATAACAGAAATGTTAAATGCATAGCAGAAGATATTCTTTTTGTGAATGCATAAGGTTAACAAGTTTGTGACCTGAGCTGTGTGGAAATTTTGTTACACATAATGCTTATCTGAGGAAGAAAAATGTGTTAAGTACTTAAATCCTTTCCTCAAGAAACAGTACTTGAAGAAAAAACATGTGCCAGCCTTGGAATTTGACTTGAATAAGAATGCAGATGTTCAACGATATTAAGGATCAGACTTTGTGGCAAAGTACAAAGCATAACCATGTTGTGACATAGGAAAGATACATTCATAAAGACTTGCTTTTGAAACCAGATTTGGACTAGAGACTTACTTGGCCTCAATGCATAAATTCTGCCCCAATGAATATATGGCATTGACTTCAAACAAGACTCTTACTACTTTACTACATTATACAAATACATTTCTATATATGAACATAAAATACCTTACTTTCACTTATCAGCTACGTGTGTGTTTAAACTGTAAAACAAAAGTTAACAAAGGAAGAAAAGGACTAGCAATCCAGCAAAGCACCAACAAAAAACTTTATATTAGTAAATAGTTCCATTGAACTCTGTGCAATTTTTTATAAATGCACGTTGACCATTTATAAATATTTTTGAAGGTTTTTGAGTTATAACAGGGAATTTTTCATAGTTAGCATAATAGATATGGTACAAAACCCAGTAAAATAATTGTTTTAATGGAGAAAAGTATTGTTTTATCTTGACCAAATGCAATGTCATGTATTTACTGGGGTTATGGTTGTTAGCACTTTGTCAGCATAATTATTTATTGCTGCTATAAAAGTTGTGAGTGTTTAACTTGCATAAATCTGTATCACTGTATCTGTAAGAAAGATTCCATGTAATTAACATGTAAGGTTAAATACCAACTTCAAGCTTAGTTTAAGGCCATCAAATATGTGTTCTGCTAATGAGCTGATGTATATTGAGCCTAGGAGGAAAGAAGCCTCTTTTATATGTTCACAAGATGTGTAACAGAAGATTTCTAATTAAACATCTTAGAACTTAGTTGATTTAACAATATTCCCAGTGCAGTATTGTAATGGTATAATAGACTGCAAACACACATTGTATGCTTCATTGCAGACTCCCCTACTTGTTTCAAATCAAAGCTAAATAAAAGATATTTTAATACTTAGTATTTTTTAAATAAATGTACTGTTAATTAATGGTAGAGCTAAGAAGGATTCAGAAGATAAATCGTAGTTATAGATTATATGCTACATGCTTGAATAGCCACATGTGTGACCTCAATCCAGCAGTGTGCTACAGAGTAGAGTCCATGATTAAACACTGTCATTATAACAAATTGAACAGAAACTGCAAGCATTGAATTGCTTCATAAGAAGTCAGTAGCAGTAAGATTGTTCTGATCTTAATGCTAATATTCACTGCACCAACCTGGTAAGGTTTGTATCTTAATTAAATTGTCATGAAGAGATGTTTAAAAAAAGTAGTATTCATCAGATGGTGGGGTCAACTCATTGTTTACTGGAGTATTTTCATTTGATTCTTCTCTTCCTCACTATCTCATCCAAATTACAATTACCACTTTATTTCATATGCACCATATATCTTCTTTGATGTTCCGATTATACACAGTGCAAATATAGCAAATAAAAAGGCTAACTTTCTGCTAGAAAGGTACTTCTAATTATATTTATGTTAACAGACTGTTCTCTCTCTGAGAGAGAGAGAGAAAATAGCAAAGCAGATCCTACGATGCCCAGAAGTAGTTATTGAATGTTGTTTCTTACTTGAAAGAGTATATATTTTTTAAATAATAGAAGGATTTAAATTATTGTCTTCCTCTTCTTTTCTTAACTGGAAAAAGCTTTGGATCAAATTCTGCTACTGTAGCTGTTAGAATTATTCCAGTAAGTTAGTAAGTTGTTCCTTTGAGTAGTAAGATATTATCTGACATAATGACAGTATCATGACTTGCCCCCAGTTTTTACTGAATTATAATTGAAAAACTGTCATGAAGATGCTGATGAGACCTACAATTTAAATAATGTCTCTCTTAATTCAGGAATAATTAACCTTGCAAAGCAAAGTGAACAAGAACCAAGTTCTGTGACCTCTGCCTCATTACAGCATACTGAAGAAACTGTGGAAAATAGAAAAGTTCTTCCAGAGTGGACCACCAAGAAAACTACTAAAACAAAGGTATAAGTTAAGAAGTGTCATATATTAAATGAGATATGTAATATGGTGTAAATAATCAGAAATGGTGAATATTTTTAGTATAGTGGGAAGAGTAACTAGCAATCAAACAGCTACATTTACTTTCTTGCCCTTCATTTGCAATCTCATTATTTATTAGTAATAATAATACAGCACCCAAAGGGACTTTGTCCTCATGGTTTACAAACATGTTTTAATTAAAATCCTCACAGGCATTTTATAGACAAGGAAATAGAGGCCTTTTACCCTGTTTTTCTCTTCAAGAAACTTGTTCGTTTGCTTTCTGTGAGCTCCGGATCTCTTTTTTTCCCCAGGCCTAGATTTCCTTGTCTGTATGGCTGCGTAGTATGAGCGTTTGAGCAGATGTGCTATGAAAGTATTGTGAACGGGAAAATACTCTTCTTACATGTTTCTGTGTGGTTTTGTTTAATCCCTGCAATGATCTGTCTCTCCTTCAATCTTTTCATGAAAACTGTAGGAAGAACAAACAGGCGAATTCATATACCTGTGTAAAAGCTACTGTTCATGGCTGTCAAGTTATTCATATTGCCAGGCTGTCAAGCCCCGTGAGAAGTACAGGGTCAGCAGGTTAGCAAAGAGAAGAAACTTTATCAAGAAAGTGGGCATTAAGCAAGGAAACTGTCAGACTGCTAGCTAATAGGCCTTACATTACAAGAGGCTAAAACCATTTTGTTGCGTAGCTTTTTTGCGTATCTCCTTTCTCCATGTATTTACCAACTAGGGTATCTCGCATTTTTATATGGCCCATGCTCTGGATATTTAGAACAGAAACAGAGAGATAAAATTACTTGTCTTGCGGTAGTGAATCATCTGTAATGCAATAGTGTTGACTTCCAAGTTACAACCACATCAGCGTGGTCTTCAGCCTGGGCCAGTCGTGACTGACCACCAAAACCATCTTAACGTGTCCCAAAACCATCTTAACACGATACATCGCTACTGCTCTTTAGTCTGCCGAAGAGTCAGAGGGTCGGTGTGGGTGTAGCTGGCATGTGAATGTGTCTAAATGGCTTCCGGGCTACAGCTGACTTGCAGTCTCCTAATTTCACAGGTAATGTTGGGCATACCTGGCTACATGCAGGTATCTTCAGGTCTGGTCCCCTCTCCACAAGTATGTGCTTCCTATCAAATAGACATCCTTCTGCGTCAGTTAAAAACTGCAGCATGGATGGGAAGATGGGAAATTAATATCACTCTTTGAAAAACAGAATTAAAAACTTTTTTGAGCCACTGATAGGCAACTGGGGTTAGGATAGTAGGTGGTATTTGTACCTATAGATGCCAGTAACTGAGCAGTATCGGGCTTAGCTTACCTGCAGCGATTTTGTGGGTTTTATTGTACTGAGCTGCTGTTCCTGAAAGGTTTAAGCCTTCAGGCCTTCCATGATTAGAAGCTGTCCAGAGCTGTCAGCATTCATCTTTACTCCCAGAAGAAAATCCTTAGTGTTGCATCCTGAACAGAAATGGGATAGCAATCAGCTGGGAATTAAGAGGTCTCCAGTACTGTAATGTAAATCCCAGGACAAGGGACATGAATTTAGGAAGAATTTAGGATTTACTGGTATAGAAAGTGTGAATATTGTCTACTGGCCATCCTAATTGTCTCTAGAATTGCTTGCAGCAAATCATTTGTTGTGTGGTAATTTTGCCTGTTACAAATACACTGTATTAAACATACCTGAGAAGTTTTTAATTGAACTTAGTGGATGAAATTATCTGAAAATGTTGATAGATTTGAAAACAATGTTACAGTGAAAAAAATGGTAAAATGGTAAAATCTAGACTGTTTCTGCCAGACTAACTCAGGGGATTTACCACGACAAGACTGATGATTACTTAGCTGAAGGGGAAGTGGTTAGTTAAACTGATAACACAGACTTTTTTCCAGTTGAACTATCCATTTATACTGCATGATGAATATAAAATGTTTCAGTCCTAATACCATCTTTGGCATTATTTTGATATATATGCATCATCTGAATGATTGCAATACCCTTATTTGTACAGGACAGATCTCTGAGAGTGTGTACTTACTCGGCGAGCAGCAGTGACACTGAGCCAGAGCCAGAGTATGAAACAAATTATTTTAGAACTGCAGAGGAGACTTTTGTGGAGTTAACAAAGAACAACAAACAAGGTAATTGAAAATTTGTACATAAAAATGTCTATCACTCATCTCCACTCTGACTCAGCAGCAGGTAGTGTCCTTCATTGAACTTTCTGTCTAGTTTTCACTTTCTAACCCCAGATCTTACTTCAGTCTAATTTTCCATTAGCTTTTTATTACTTTGTGCTTTTATTCTGTGTGTGCATCTTTTTTTTTCCTCTTTTCCGCAGTTTTGGCTAGCAGGGGCTTCACTTGTAGGTTTTTGTGCATAAATCCCTGCAGCGTAAGTAAAAAGTCTTCTGTTACATTATTACAAAACTTAAAAGGTGACTGTAAAGATAGCTTCCCTTTTTTTCTTTTTAATTATACTAGCCAGTTAAAATAACGCAACGATCAAGGGCATAGTTTTTCAACCTCTGTATCAGAGTGATGTTGGTTATGGTGCCATAGTGAAGTTTCTGTCATTGTCCTCCATGTATATATTGCCATTTTCAAGTATCAAACCTTTTTGCAGGAATTGATGGCAATTTGGAATTTACTGAATTCCAGTAGATAAAAGGACATTAAGTGAAGTTCTTGAGATAGTAGTTTTCTGTGTGTTTAATAACCCAAGAAATTGCTGTCTTGTCTTGACCACCAACTTGTTGTGCTGTGAGCCACCTTTCAGTGCAGATGCGTGCCCGCTGGGAGGGGAAGGAGAGAGTCTGGATCATATCTTTGCCTACGCAGCCGATGGCTTCCCTGCAGGAATTAAATTTTGGCAAGTGCAAAGGCCAGTGCAAGGTCTCAGCACCACTGAAGCCCTGAGACCTTAAGCAGTACTTCAGTGATTCATAGGATTTGTGCTGACCCCCTGCACAGCAGTGAGCTTGACCTAGCAGAGATTAGCACCTACAGTAGATACCGCAGTGATGAATGCATTAAAAATGCCGTGGACGGCTAGATACTGTCGACAGACAGACTGTGCTCTTCAGTGTCTGCTGGGAGTTGGACTTAAACACTTGGCATTTTCAAAGCTAATCCATTTTTTGTGATTCCACCGCAGAGAGAGCAGAGTAGGAAGCTAGGACCGTTTATTTACATTACTCCTGCAACTTTGAATTTTTAATCTGTATGAAATGTTGCAAGTCATTTAACTCAGCCCATAAACACTTCTTTTTACAGATTCTGCTTTTTACAAATAATGTTCTAATACAAGAAAGATGTGTTTTGTTAAAGAGGTAGATAACCATTTTTTTCTGTATTGATCACAATTTGCAAAAAAATTATTTTATCGTGTGTAAGCAGTTGCGTTAAATGGTAGCAGATTCCAAGTTTAATGATATCTAAGCATGACTTGAAGTCACCATTTTACACAGCAAGTCACTAATTTTGTGTATACGCCTAACTTTTGGGCTAGTAACAGAACTAAAATTCATAATTGTGATTGAGGCAAAGAGAAAATTATAAAGCACTACTGCAGAAGTATTTCTGCTGTGGTCATTCCTTATGGTGAGGATTTCTGTTCTGTGCTCTATAAAAGCAGTTCTCACATCGTATTGATGGCAATACTTTATTCCATTCTGTGTTCAAAGATCTTAGCTTCTTTATGCACACAAGTGATATAACCTCAAAACATCCACATGAGGCTGAGGCAAGGGCTGCAGCAAACCAATTCATAGAGAATATTTTTATATAGAGACATAATTATATTTGTTAAATGAGTCCCCAAAACATTAATGAACTTTCACTGGTTGCACAATTACAATGTTGGAGTGATTTTCATTTTCCATTTATGAGCAGGGAACAGAAAGACTGAGAGACTGAGTGCCCAATGCAAAGGCTATCGAAAGTCAAGGGTAAGACCTTCATTGATTTAGTGGGCTTTGGATGAGTACATAGCCCAATGTCACAGAGAAGGTCAGTAGAATAGCAGGGAATAAGCCAAATATTCCAAGTTCTTCCATTTCAACCATGAAAATGTTTTGATTCCAATTTCATGGAGGTTTTATGCCGATGCGATTCTGTTGAAGGCACTGGAGGCAGAGGCTCTTCTAATGCTGTAGGTTGTAAGGTAGAGTTGAAGTTTGTGTCACGAGAAGTGTGAGGAAAGAAGCTGATGAACATGTAAGACTCTGTCTCCTGTGCATTTTCATGAAGCTGCAGAAAATTTCTTTGGTTTTGTTTTGATCTTCTGAATGAGTTTTCAGTCTTGGACTTTGGAAACTGAGGTTTTATTCCTAATACTCTTATATTACAGTAGCATCTATAACAAATGGGTAGGACCTGTTTCTTACCTTACTACTGTGGTTTTTATACTGTTGTATTCATTAGCTAAAAATGTAATGAAAAGGAAAGAATTATCAAACATAGTCAAACTGAAAGACATGCTCAAGGAACTTAGCACAACTGCCACGTAAGGCTATTAAGAGAAAAGAACGAAAACTTACAGCAAATAAGTAAGTAGAACAATCCCCCCAAATTAACTATCTTGTCTATAAATAGAAAAAGAAAGGAAATTAATTCTGGGTGTCTCTTACCGTCTCCTTCACCTTGAATATTAAGTTTGAACAGTCCCCTGTATATGCACTGATTGGAGAACTAGGAGCTAGTATTTTAATGCTTTTATTACATTGAACTCCAGATACGTTAAAATATTTGAAATACATTTAAAAATTGTCAAATTACATTACAGTGTATGAAGACTGCATTTCATCAATTAAATATGCCATAATGATACTATTTTTAACGTCTCTTACAGCTGAGCAGGAAAAACAAAATCAGAGAAAGTCATTTCTGGGGAACCCGATGTCAATCTTGGATTTATACCAACACAGTCTCTATGGCCATTTTGGAGAGGATGGACCTGAACAACTAACACATTACAGTTTAATTGAGCAGCTGAGTGGAGCTTCCAGTAAAGACAGCAAGGGCAAGGAGTGCCCAAGTGTGAGTTACTGTGATTTTTATATTACTTCTCATTTTCTTCATGATTGTTTTTGTTTGCCTCTTGTTTATTCCTCAGTGTGTTGATTGATTACAAAAACCAGGCAGACTTGAAAAAAAACAGCATGACCTGCAGAAGAGTAAAGCTCTAAATATTTTTAGAACAGAATGTTACATTCTGATGCTCACCTGTCATAGAATTAGACTTCCAAAATTGACAAGTAGACAGGCTAGCGCTAGCACTCTACCATTAAAGAGGAGTTGAAATGTAACGCTACTTTAAGGCTAGCAAGAAAACACAGAAATTATCTTTTAAGGCTGCTCCTTCACATATAGTTAGATAATATGTATAGCACAACAAGTAGTAAATGACTTAAACATCTGAAGTAGTATTCCAGAAAATTCAAATGAAACTATGCTATGTAAGTCAGCTATCTTCTGGTCTCTTTTGGAATAACTCTTGGTGTTACCTCCGGAGCTCCTGATTTGAGGGTTAAACATTATTTTGATGAAGATCAGTCCTGGTCTGATTGGTGGATCTTGATGCTAAACTGAAATAAATTTGTTTTCTCCACTTACTTCAGGTGAATCCACTTGCTATTTCTGTCTCTAAAAACGTTGAACCTGACATCATGCAGTCTCAACAACCCTGAAAAGGAAGTTCTCAACCTGCTCTTTTCCTCCTGTTTTCTCATGCCTTCTCCTCGCATCCTTATGCTTCTTGCTTGCTTTTTCTCCCCTTTGCTCTAACAAGCCTAGTTGTTTGAAAATTGAGCCACCCAGCCATGATCCACTGTGATGATTTTGCCTCCATGTTCAGTCTCTTCGCCAGCTCTTCTTCTTTTCAAATACAAGCTCTTTTGTTTCTGTGTGTAGCACTCAGCACATTTTGGTTATGTTACAGTATAAACAAAGGTGGTAGCAGAAAATAATGAGTGAGATGCTGTTTTGTAGCATACTGCTGTAGTTCATAAGTGAAAGAGAGTTTTTATCTCTTCCCAGACCCCATTTTTCAGCTTCAGAAAATCACTGTGCATTGTAACTTCAGAGGTGATTAACCAAAGTTAGAGTTTTACAGCTTTCAGGAATCCGGGCCAAATGTGCAGAAGGAATGTGTGGAACAAACTGGCAATGCCCCTGTTTGTTCCAACTCTGCTGGCATGAAAGCCCACTTAACTGAATATTAAATTGTCTCACAAACTTCAAAAGAAAAATCCTGAAATGTATCTGCCTCATTTCCCAATCAGCCAATTCACTAGTACCCGGAATATGATTTGAATATATTTGGGTCGTAGTAGAAAGAACAATTTTAAAGAATCTGGCTTCATAGTTGAGAATAAGAAAAGGAAAAAAAAAAAATAGCAGAAGATTATTAAAAAGGATAGATGAAGGAAAATAATTTGATCATCCACTTAATTCCTCATCTTGAACATCTACAAATTCATAGCTTAATTGTGCAGATGAGATGAATTATGTATGTATGTATATTTATACACAAATATATAAAGATCAGTTCTGCCTTCTGAAGGTCAAGGTCTTTTGCTATTAACAGAGCAATTAGATTTGGTTCCACTATAGAAAAGTGGCTAAGAGTTGCGTCTACTTTTAATTCACTCTTCTCGTGCATTTCTTGTATATGACATCTCTGCAATGTACCCAATCAGCATCAAAACATAAACAAAACTCACTGAAATAGCCTGAGGATCCTTGTAAAAATCCATCATTAAGCTAGAAGGCAACAGGTGTAACTCAGCACTAGCATTTTTCATGCATTATGTTGGGGAGCTTTTGCGATTACTTCTTGGGGATCTGAAATAGCTCTCAAAACAACATTGCCTCTCGGTGAACAGTGAAAGCTCAATAAAGCACTAGAGATTTGCCTATCAATATTAAGCTTTTCAGGATGACAAATGAGAAGTAGTAACTATGAAAAGCAGGTTGCCCTGAACACCTTGTTTGAACCAGCATGGCAAATTTTTCTGAACTGTAATTTGTCTAACCCAAGAAGATCCACAGTCTGTTTAAATTAGGATTGTGTGATCTGGAACATTACCCACAAACAAAGGGGGACACCAGAAACTGAGGCACTTATGGCCAACAATTCTAAAAAAAAAAAAAAAAAAAAAAAAAAGATAAATTTTGAGGGGGGGGAATGCAGCTTTCATGCAGAACATTTGGTATTTTGAAAAAGGAAATGCTACGTGCTTTGAATTTCATTCCGAAATGGTGTGTGTGAAGCCTTTAAAAAAAAAAACAAGTATCATGATGGACAGAATGAGTTTATGCTGCTTCTCAAAAGAGCAGTGTGCTGTATCAGTCCCTCAGCCCAATTAAATTGGACTGTACAGCACCAGTACGATGGTGGCTTCAGACTGGGTGCTCTAATGAGACATTCTGGCAGGAAGCTCTGTTATCCCAGACTTACTGTCATTTGAATTGTCTCCTTCTCACCGAACATTTTCACCAGCGTTACCCCAAAAGTATACACACAACAAGTTTTATCAGCAAAAAAGTATTGCGCAGAAGGAGTTTCAGAAGGGAAACAACAAATGGGCAATTACTATGATAAAGGGACACTGAACGGACAGTTTGAGAAATCAAAAAAGGCTTTTACACATTGAAAGGAGAAATATTTATTGTTCCAGTTTCTTATGTGCCAAGTCCTAAACAGCATCCTGGTTAAATTCTCTTGGCACTAAGACTAATTTCATGTTACATTTAGTTTGACCTGGGAAACATATTCTGAAATAATGTCATCCTTTTGTACACTGCAGAATTTTGGACAAGAAACACAAATCACAATTTCAAAGAAAGGAATAAGATGCACTGAAGCATGGACATGAAACTTTCATTTAAGTAACAGCCATGGTGTATTTTCCTCATGTTGGATTTTCAAAACAAGAAACAATAATTTTTATATGTATCAAATAAAATAATTTTAATTGAACAGTAACTTCTCTGATTTAATAAAACATAACGCAGCACCTGAGCCAAAGTCCACTGCAGTCAGTCCATGGGAGACACCTATTCAGTGAAACTTCAGTGAGGCCTGCATTAAACAGCTATTCCTCTTCCTCGTAGCAGTAACTGGTAGTGCCTTGAGCAGTTTGCTGATGTCAAGATTGCTACCATATTTTTGCAATGAAAAAATTATTTCACATTTCAATTACTTTACTGTTTAGACTTTAAAAGCTCAGTGATTTATTTTTTCTTATAAGAATTCAGAAAACAAGATAAATTTCCCTCACCCAGGCCCATTGTTTATTAACTTATTTTATGATCAAACGAGAACTGACACAAGACTTTTTATTGTCTTCTTTGTTCCCTTGAAGTAACTGAATTGGTCAAAGATTTTATTACTTAATCATCCTTATGATCCCAAAGCATCAGGAAAAATATATTTTCTTCTCTGTCTTTAACAAACCATCACATACCTTTTTCTGTAATACAGCCCTTCTTGCCGCCTTTTGTCCCTGTGTATTTCTCAATTTGAGTCACCATCAAGGCTTGCTTGTATTTCAAGGCATGACTTGAGCACTTTAAGGAAAAGATCCTTTATGGAAGGGGTTGGTACCCATCACAAGTTTCTAAATCCTCTTGTTTTCCCTCAGTTGTGATGATATACATGAGAAATCTGACAATTCTGGCACAGTTACAATGGTAACTACATCAGCAATTTAAGTAAGGGGCTCATTTAACGGAAGAGTTGTATGCACAATGGGAAGATACGGTCTTATTCAACACAGCAGAGTTTATATCTGTTGTACAGATGATTCATGAAGGAGATCAAATGCTCAAATCACCGTGTCTTGCTATTCAAGTAGGTATTAGAGCTTGCTGGCAAATACAGGAAAAGGAAAAATTAGAGAAGTTGCTGCTGTTTTGGCTGCACTTACAAATGGGACTGACGTGGCAGCATTCCCAGATAAACTCAAGGTTTTTTACAGCTGAGTAAGCTGATTGGGAGTTAATGCTATATGATTGACTCATTGTGCTCACAAACCTTCTAATGCATCGTATTAACAGAGGGGAATAGCCACAAAAGGACTAGAAACAAGAATAAGAAAGTTTGGAAATTGCACACTTGCCATCCTCAAGGATCCCAGAGCATTAAGCTGATACTGTAGAGGATGTCCCAGTATTCCTGCAATAGTTAAAGCAGCCTAGACAGCTCTGCAGGCTACACTAAAAAGAGTAAGGGGAAAACAAAGGCAGGCATGAGCTGCTTCCACTTGCGTCTCGTCTCCTACAGAGATCAGTAAGTCTTGAGCGCGGGTCTGAATTGGCAGCACACTGGGCACTTTGGACTGTTCACCTATTTAGGCAGCTCTTGGAGAACAGGCCAGCAAAGTTTATATACCTGATTTGGGTTCTCTGAATCACTTTCTGAAGGTGCCTTATTCTCTCTGAAAGAGAGAAGTTCTTCGGCTCTTAAATGGAGCCTCTCTTAGAAGAGACTCTCTGTATGTAAATGTCTGAAGTAGTTCCAGCAAGACCATGTGCACTCTGCTTTCACAGAGAACTAGTTTTTTTAACATTATCAGATATGCTTAGGGAGGGATTCTGCTTATCACATGTGAAAAAGCCTAAGATAATGATTTGGGTCCAATTAGCAGTTGGGAAGAGTTGCATCCCAAGAGTGGGAAGGAGGTATTGACCTGTGGAACTACTTGCTTACTTGCCTTGACAAGAGAAAGGGAGCCCATGCAGCTAGCTAATACTGAGTACCAAACTTTCAACCCAAAATCAGCAAATGAACATTGCCCAAAGCTTTTCTCTGTGGGGAACTAGTAAAAAGCAGCTATTGTAGCTACCACTTGTATTTTAGGGAGTGAAACTGCATCTCAGTGCACCCTGAGGTGAGCACTATATAATTGCCTTGCTTATACTTTCATAATAACAAGAGTTCCTGCAGCTGGGGCAGCAGTGGGTGAGGTTTGGCTAGTTGCTTGATCTCAGGATCTCAGTTTCACTGTCTATAAATTTGGGACAGCAATAGCTATCTCACGTTACAACCAGAAAGAAAACAGTGAATGCTGTCTATGACCTAGGTCTTAGCATTTTTTGTACAATATGTGTGTTACTGCAAATACAGTATTTGAAGCAAATCTTAAAAATTATTATACTAGAAAGCAATAGAAGATAGAAGGGGTCCCTTGTCAATAACAGAAAGTATCTAGATGGACTGGATCGAATCCAGGAATTAGTTGATTATGGATTTCTGTGTACTGACTGTATAATTCAGTTTACTGTGTATCAAGCACAGAAACCTCCCGTCCTCTTTGCTATTTTCCTTGCCAGGCTTAAGAAAGAGGAAGATGATGAGGTGAGGAGTGAATCAGTTATATTTCCTTTCCTAGCCCTGGTGAACCTAAGATGTTAATGAAGATACTGCCTTTGTACAATTTGTAGATGGGGAGTAAGTCTGCAGACTCATTCATCTGTAGTTTGTGTTTTAAGATTAATGCTTCTCTTTCATGTAAAGGATTAGTATGTCAAACCATTGCATATGTTTAGGGAGGTGGTCTGTTAATGTAAACATAGGTGATGCCAACCTAGAACGTTCTAATTCAGTCAGGATCAGATATCCTTTCATCCTCCCTGTCACAAACACTGAACATAACATTTACTGTATTTATGGGTTTGTATTAGA